TTTTCTTTCTAAAGGTGAGGCTTCTATATTAGCTACTTTCTCTATAACAGAAGGGAAAAAAAAAATTCCTGTGGCTGGCTGCAGAGTCCAAAAAGGACAGTTGGAAAAGCAAAAAAAATTTAAATTAATGCGTAACGGACATGCTATTTGGAAGGGTAAGCAACATCAAAATCCAACTCTGTATCATATCCGGGCATCACAATTGATGGAGCCTTTCAAATCTGCTCTTTTACTCCCATAATCCTAGTTTAGGCCACTTTGTAGTTGGACTTCTTCCCAGCTTCCACATGTGTGTGTAACTGGGGTCTAAACCCAGGACCTTTGCACTGAGGTACATCTCCAGCCTTTTCTTAAAATGTTAAGACAGGGTCTCCCTAAGTTGCTCAATTGCCCAAGTGGGGCTCCCATTTGTGATCCTCTTTTCTTATCGTTCCAGACTGCTGAGATTATAGGTGTGCACTATCATCCCTGGCTCCTACTAGTTCTGATGACTCTTCCAGGATCACTTATCTCCATCTTGTTATGCCAAGTTTGTAAAAATTGGCCTGAACTACCTTTCCATCTCCTACACTTCTACATTTTTTGTTGTTTTTTGAGACAGGGTCTCACTCTGTAGTTGAGACTGACCTGGAACTATGTAGCCCCAGGCTGGTCTCCAACTCAGAGATCCTCCTGCCTCAGCCTCCCAAAGTGCTGGGATTACAGGCATGCGCCACCACGCCCAGCCTCTTCCTCTTTCTTGACCTTTTACCTATGTGTATTTCCATTTAAATCCTAACTATAGTCCTGTCCTCTGCAGTCTTAATCTACTTTTAGTTTTTTGATGGGGAGATCTTGGATTCCTTAGGTCTTCCCTACATCAGTCTCCCAATAGCCAGCCCTCCACCCCGTAAGATGTATTAGGCATGTGCCACCAAGCGAGGCTTATCTTTAAAATGCGAGATTTATGATTTTTGCTATGTCACATCTTTACAGCAAACTTTTTTGGGGTTTAATTCCATTTAACACTGCAAAATTTCTAAGAATTTCAGTGTAATTTTCCTTTTAACACCAAGCTAGCATTCAGTACATACTTTAATTGGCAAATATACTAACCTGAAGTTTTTTTATTAAAGGTTCGTTAACCTCACTGAAACACCATAAAGATGATATTTCAGTCATCAAAACTGGGATGGAATGTGGTCTCAGTTTAGATGAAGAAAAAATAGAATTTAAAGTGGGAGATGAAATTGTTTGTTATGAAGAAAAGGAAGTTCCAGTTAAGACTTCTTGGGATCCAGGGTTTTAAAATTCTATTAAAAATAAATGTTTTGCTTCATTATTTATACAGCAGCTAGTTTTTCCTTTGTTGAAGGTAAAATTTCATCAGAAATGGTCAAGAAGTACACCTATCAGTGTTTAAATGCATATTGTCAAGAGGGGTCAGGGATTTACCTCGGTTCCACTGCCTGCCTTGCAAGCGCAAGGACCTGAGTTTAATCCCCAGTACCCAAAATATAAATATCAAGGGACCAGGGATGTAGCTCAGTAGAACAGTTGAGTGCCTGCCTGAAAGCATGAGGTCCTGAATTCTGTCCCCAGTACCACACACACACACAAATTGTCCAGAGTGCTACAGAAATAGGTAACCTTAAAAGGATGCATCCAACTAGAAATCCTGGAAAGACCAAATACCTTAAAAAAGGCATTTAGTGGCATCACTGAACATACAGTGTAGTCCTCCTTGAATTGAGCTTCATGGGCACCAAAACAATTTTAAATCCCATGTAGCTAATACTTCCCTAACAGGTCTCATTTAGAGGGACTCTCAATGTTTCTGAATGAATTGGCAATTTGAAGTTGTGTATAAATGTGTGCTACTGGGAAACAAATAGCTCTCACCTTTCCTGGCCCTTTTTACTTTTTAAATATTGAGAAAGCTAGCTGCTGAGGCTGGGCTTTAATTTATGATCCTTGTGCCTCAGCTTCCCAGAATGCTAGGATTACAGATGTGCAGTACAACACTAGACTTGCCAGAGCCTCTTGTAAGGAAATTCTTAATTGGAGTGGAGATGGCCTTTGCTTGCTGTTAAATAGGTGAGATCCTGCTAGTCATTCTTTGGTGACTAGGACAGAACCCATGAAGCATTATCTGACCTGTAATATCTAGAGTTGAGGTCAAAAACTGACCTCACTACTATAACATTAAGCTCTTTCCATGCAGCTGGCAATTTGTAGAAATGCCAGAAACTACAAAGAGGTCACACATTATTTCCAGAAGCAAAATTTACATGATGGCAGAAGCACACTGGGGTGGGTACTGTCAAGATGACATGGTGACACCCAAACATTTCCTTAAATTTATGTGCAATAAAACTCAACTGCTAAATGTTAGCTGAAGTCTTTTATTAACTCATGTACAATTATTTGTCCTCTGGTTTGTTGAAGCAGTAAGTCAGGCAACACTTGCCACAGTAATGTCTGTCAAAGTGGCTTGCCATAAAAACTCCAGCACCACATTCATCTGAAGGGCACTCCCGACGAAGACGACTAATTTTGCCATTTTCATCCACCTGTAAAGTATAAATTTGTTGTAAGATAGTTTTGTACCCAAAATATCTAACTTTGAAACACGATGCTGGTGGGTTTTAGTGCTTATAAACCAAAGTATTCTCAAGCTGGGTGGGTGTGATGTGTAATTACGCCTGTAATCCCAGCACTCGGGAGGCAGACATAGTTCCAGGTTCGGCTCAACTACATAGTGAGACTGTCAAACCAAAAAAAAAAAAGTATTCTAAATTATCACCAGTAATTTTAACAGAAAAGTTTAAAAACCAGATTTGCAAGTGGTATATGTCCAAAGAATCTAGATCTCACATCTTTATTTGGAACAGCTAATAGTGAACCCCAAATAGGAAAAGCCCCAGAAACTAAAAATCCAAAAGTAGGTAATACAGAATATTCAAACACTGCATATTCAAGTCCAATTATTTCTAAAGACAATGTTGACAAGTTTCTATGAAGACTGCTTCCATATAAACCATGAGAAACTGGCTCACCTTATAGTATTTCAGGACAGCCAACTTAACCTTCTTTCTCTTATGCTTATTTTTCTTGGGCGTGGTGTAAGACTTCTTCTTCCTTTTCTTGGCACCACCGCGGAGTCTCAACACAAGATGAAGGGTGGACTCCTATTCATGCAACAGCAAGTGACACAGGCTTTTATGGTACATTAATGGACCAGTATTGTGGATTTTCTAGTTAATGTGAAGATTGAGCTTCTCAAAAGTTAGTGTAGGAGTCACCTTGGTATCTATTTGCTAGTCTAATGCTATTTGCCCCATTTTTGTGTGCCAAAGTTAAAAAAAAAAAGTTTCCAAAATAAAACTTTTTTTAAGATTATGCTTTTCCCCTAAACAAACCTTCTGAATGTTGTAATCAGACAAAGTACGTCCATCTTCCAGTTGCTTACCAGCAAAGATCAGCCTTTGCTGATCAGGAGGAATTCCTAATGAAAAACACAATTTAATTCAGGATATGTATGTTTCAAATTTACAAACTAATAGTCCAGAATCAAGTAACTGCTACTTATAGCCCTCAGTACAGGCAGAGAACCATTACAAATGTTATACATGTTAGCAAATTTAAACACACCAACTTAATAGTTTTCATTTTATAAATTAACAAACACGATCAGAGAAATTCACACACAAAATGTCCCTCAGAGACTCTAATCTAGGAAGCCTGGCTCCATTCTCATAAACACTTGTTACATTCTAGAGTCCTTCAGTAAATATGCAAACACACCTAGCACTTTCAGGTAAGAAGGTGTTGTTAAATGTTAATTTCCCTGAATTTATGGAAAAAAATTGGGTTTTGTTTTGAATAAAGACAGAGGCTTAGGTGTAGTTTAGGCAGGCCTTGAGCTCACTTTGTCTCCCAGGCTGGCCTCCACCCCGTTGTAATCCTACTGCCTCTGCCTCTTTAGTGCTGGGATTACTTACTGGTCCTGCTCTAAACTACAAAATATGACTTACCTTCCTTATCCTGGATCTTGGCTTTTACATTTTCTATAGTGTCCGAGGGTTCAACCTGTAAAATTTAACAACCAACTACGTTGGCTACACAGTAACTAGAACACTCATTTAATTCAAGGTACGACAGGACCTAACTGAAGCCCACCCCAAAGAGCTGACACAGCGGGTGACCTCCCCCTAGACCGGTACAGCCAAACACAATCAGGCCTCCAGCCCCGGGCAGGCGGCGGCTGCAGGGCCACATGTGCTCCCCGCCCGCCTAGCAAGAGGCGCCTCCAAAGCAGCAGGGCCCCTTGCTTTACATTTGGCCGGAACTACTCTAGAGGTGCCAAGCCCAGTTTTGAGGCCCCGAAATCCAGACCTCGGGTCATGGGCCAGCAAACTACCCTCAATACAAAGGTAGGCCCCAGAACGCAAATTCGGGAATGGGTTCTAACACTTGACAATCAGCGCTGGTTCCGAAATCCACCTCAGGGACTTATTCATTTCTGGGCTTCCTCACACCACCTGGCCCATACCTCGAGCGTGATGGTCTTCCCCGTAAGGGTTTTTACGAAAATCTGCATCTTGGCGGCGGTTCCACCTTAAATCGATGAAAAGAATGTGATGGGTTAAATCTATAGATAGGGCAAAGGCCAACGCATAAGCCACGGGCCAGAGACTGGCCACAGACAGGACACTCACCACAGATGGCGGATCCGAAAGGAAGACCGCCTCGCGGGCCCACGGACTATCACGACCGAAGGTCCTAGTCCTTAGGCGACCACAGCAAATGCCTGACTGCTGTCCCGGAGGCTGTCTAACGCAGTGCCAAATTAGGTTGTGAAAATCTTTTATTTTTCTAAGTCTAGGCTTATCACTTTAGCCTTCAGAATGCTTTCGAAATAGTAGATTTCAGCAATTTCAAAATGTTTTAAAAAATACTTTTCCCATACAACCTACGAGGAGTGTCTTACGAAGTGGACGACTGACACCGGGGAAGAGGAAATGGAGGTGCGTTCTGGGAGTTGTAGTTTCCCAGTGCTGTTTTCGCGAGAAGACTACTTGTCCCAAGATGCAATTCTCCACCCGTAGGCTCCTTAGTTACTGTCTCTAAGCACTGGAGTCCTGTTTAGAGACAGGGATCCAGGTAAGGACCCGAGGAGGTAGCAGAATAATGGTTCTCGGCAGGGTGGAAATTATTAGAGGGAATGGTTTAAGGGGCAGGAAAATGTTGTTCACCCGCTTACAGAGTCGCTGAGAGGTTTAGGATTATCGACCAACTAGAGCTTTCTGGGCCTCCAAAAGAATGAAATCTCCTTGCAGTCTACTCCAGGAAAATTGAAACATAAATGAAAAGGGGGTTCAACCTTTTCTTACCTTACCTTAGCCCCCGTCTCGCTTTCAACTTCCAAGTCTAGTGTGAAGAAGGTTCTGGGCCAGCTGTGTCATTCCTTATAGTGTGAAATAGTTCAATATAAAGAAATTTTCAGTTTTCCAGGTTTTAAAATGGAATCATAAGGATAGTACCTAGTTACTAGTTTTGGAATTAGGTTATTTAATAATAGAATTTACAAATTTGGACGTGGAGAGTGTTGGTGAAGGACCTAAAAGGAAAGTTTTGGAGTATGTATAGCAAGCAACTTATGCCCTAGCCCTGTTCTTTCTTCAATCCACAAACCACAGAGTCCTTTCTAATGTACTCTTTTAATGCTTTCTCTTTTTATCTCCCAACCCCCTTCATTTTCTCCTGGAGGGATCCATTATCTATCTCTTTGCCTTACTGCTTTCCAGTCTTTATCCCCTTTGTAATCTGTCTTCTCTGTTGCCTTCAAAATATTCATTCCCGAAAAAATGATTATTTTCTTTGAAATACTCCACAATTAGGACACAATCCAAATTCCTTAGTGTGACATTCATCCTCTGCCTTCCTTGTAACCTGGTCTGCTAAACTGATCACTAACTTTACTTTTTTTTTGTACCGGGGATTAAACTCTGGACCTTGTGCTTACAAGGCATGCAGCGGAACCACTGAACTAAACCCCCAGTCCCTCACTTTACATTTTAATAACATTGAATTGATTGAAGTTTCTGACTTATGCTCTCATGCTTTGGCACTTTTGAATTACTCATTCCTTCGCTCTTTCTGGAATATTTTTTCATGCTGTATAGATTGCCAAGTAGTCTCCACCTTTACAACAGAATTTAAGAACGTTAACAGACATTGTCTCTAAGCTGGGTGTTGAAGTGCACACCTGTAATTTTAGCATTCGGGAGGCTGAGGCAGTAAGATCACCACAAGTTCAAGACCAACCTGGGCTACATAGTTCAAGGCCAGCCTGAAGTACATAGACTCTGTCTCAAAACAAAACAAAATAACATTGTCTCCACTTTACCCCTTCTCTTGATTGAATCTGCTCCTTTCAGGCTTTTCTCCCTACCATTCTGGTGGAATAGGTCTTGTAGTGTTTCACTAATGTCCTCCATTTTGCTAAATTCAATGGTCATTTCATCTTATTTGATGTAAACAGTATTTTATACAGTTGAGTACTACTTATGTCTTTGAGGCATTTTCTTTACCAGACTTCAGGGCACCACTTTTATATCTCACACTGTGGAAGCTCTTTTTCCAGTCTCTTACTGCTTCCTCTTGATCCACAAGATCTCTGAACTCAGAATCCATAGTCCTAGGATCTTTGCTTATTTACATTTCCTAGGTTATCTTGTTCTAGTAACATTTAAATACCTTTTATATGCAAATTGTAGAAGCTCAACAACTAGGCTATACACCAGAGGTCTGACGGGAGGTTTTATTAGGGAAGGCAGGTTAAGGAGAGAGGAGAGAGGGAAGAGAGAGAAGAGAACAAAGAAAGAAAGGTCCTTTTATCATTTTTGGGCTGGGCTATTGTTTATTTATGAGGAGTGGGTTACCTTTAACCTATCACAGGCCAGGTTGCCCTTTATGGGTTTGGTCCTGGAGAAACAGGTTTAACCTCGGGACAGCTGTGGCCTTGTGGGAAGGGAAACTAAAGATATGAACATGAGGTCTTTTTAAGAGCTAAGAAGCACCAGGAAAATAAAACCTGTGATGGCAGCGTCAGGTCCCTAACACAGATGGCTCATAAACTTTCCTCTCAGACCACTTATATTGAACTTCTTATTCATGTATCCAGCTGTCTACTCAACATCTCAGGAAATTGTTGTTCTTTTCTCTGTATATAACAATTCTAATTTTTTAGCTTTGTAAGGCCAGAAACTTTATGGTCACTGTTGATTGCTGTTTCATATTCTACATCTATCTAATTCTTCAGCATATCTTGGCTTTACTTTGTTGTTTTTGGTTTTTGTTTGCTTGTTGTTTTTGTCTTGCTATGTAATTCAGGCTGGCCTCAAACTCCCTACATAGCCCAAGCTGGCCTTGAATTTGTGGCAATTCTCCTGCCTCAGCCTCCTGAGCATTGGGATTACTGGTGTGTGTCTCCATGTCTGGCTTGGCTTTACTTTTTTTTTTTTTTTCTTTTTATTGAGTTTATTGGTACAATCTAGGTATACAATACAGTTACATTCATCATTGGGATTCTGTATCTTTACATAATAGGTCTTGATTCTCATTTTTTCCCCTTGTCCCTACCCTCCCTTTACCCCCTTCTCCCTTCCCCATTTACACACACTTTATTTCCATTTTTTCAGTTTCTCATATTTTTTTCCTCTCCCTTATTACCTTTCCCCCACCCTTCCCACTTTCCCTACACCTTTAGCCGTTTACTTCCTATTTCACATTATTAATTGTCTCATTAGGATCCTGTGTACTATTATAGTTTTTCACACCAAATAAACTATTCGGTATTTCAGCTAAAGAAATCTCTGTATGAACATTAAAAATAGGGAATCCTAAAATAAAACTAAAAAGGAAAGTAAAAGAGAAAAGGCAATGATGTAACATTAAAATAATCCTTAATTCTGGAGATGAAAATGGTCCCTGAACATATTTGGATTGCTTCTTGCTTTGGCTTTACTTTTTTAATGTAATGAATGCAGAACACTCCTTACCACCACTGATACAACCTTGTTTTAAGACACCATCATCATTTGTACAGATTATCACCTTCTAACTATACTTCCAGCTTTGACCTTTGTTGCTTATAATTTGTTCTCCACAAAGAAGTCAGATGATTCTTTACAATGCAAGTCAGCTGTCACTTTTTTGTGTTCCATCTCAGAATGAAACCTAAGCTTCTATAAGCAAGTCTGTTGCTCAAGCATTGGGACAAGTGGAGGCCATAGTCCAGCTCATTGCTCCTCTTTCCAAGTCTTCCCAGAGAAAGGGATACCTTTTTCTAAACTACGAAAAAGTGTCCCATGGGCTGGTAGTATGTCCTACATGATTTGCCAGCTACCTCTCTGACCTCTTCTCTCCCTTGCTCCTTCTCTTCTAGCCCCACAGGCGTTGCTGTTCTCTAACACAGTCCCACTCTGTGGCCTTTGGACTTGCTGTTCTCTTCAACAACTCCTTCCAGGCATCTATACGACCTGCCTTTTTTCAGATGTCTGAAATCATCACCTTACCAGTGAGGGCTTTTCTCTTTCTTGACTCTATATAAAATAGCATCCTCCTAACTTCCTTACTCTATCCCTCTTACCTGGACTATTTTTCTCCATGAAACTTGCGCGTCTGTCACGTTTTTCACTTATGTGTTGTCTGTCTCCATGTAACCTCTGTGAGGTTTTATTCAGTGCTATATCTCTGTTGTCTAGAATCGTGGTAAACACAATAAGTACCCTCAAAATATTTATTGAGTAAGTAAATACAGCACAACTTAAGCATTACCCTAGATAGTTCTCTACCAGGTCGGTGATGATGATCCTTTTAGGACTTTCAGTGATACAAATCCAAGCTGTGGCATGGGTATTATGGGTTCACCACCACTGCACTAGGTGTTTCCTCTAACATTTCCACATCCTCGCATAGGTTGATAAGATGCTCCTTGGGCTTTTGTGCCACTGCTGTCATTGTCTTCTGTGCTCAGTAGCAAGGGCTCATCTATTAGATCCATTATGTTTGACTTGTTTTCAGTGTATCCTTAAGTGTCCAGTATGAATGAATGAGTACATGACAATGTTAATTGATATAAGATGCTAAGGAACAATTGCTTTAATTATGTTCTGGCTTGAGGGCACCATAACTCACATGTATTCTGAGCCGACAGGATTATTGCTTAGTGATAAGGCAAATATATTTAAGACCCAGTGCTAGAAACTGTTATGCACTGGAGTGTGTATGGGTGGGGGAAGTATAATGGGAAATGAGAATATTTTAGTTCATGATCTTGTCAAACTTATAGTCTAATATGGAAACAGAAAATATACACAGGAAGTCTATAATATAGTGTGACTGAATAATAATACCTTGATAGGGCAAGTGCATGACACTGAGAAGAGAGAACATGGCAGTGATACTTAAACTTCAAGGGAATCCAGGGAAACTTTCCTGAAACTGTATGATCAGAAATCGAAGAGTGAGTAAAAGCCCAGTGAAAGAGAGTGGTCGTATGTGTTTTGGGAAGGGGGGCGTGTCAGGGGCGGGAGCACAGATAGGTGTGAGAAGAGACTTGGGGAAGGTGAATCATGTAAGACTGTAAGGTAAAAGAGCAAATCCAGAGAGGTACAGAGCTAGAGGGATATGGAGTGATGGACAAGAACATGAGAAAAAGTAGATTTTGTCAGTCATTGCTTCCTAAAGAAAGCATTAAAAAATGCAGGAGGAGCTTGGGTTTTATTGTTAAGGGTTATGGAGACCTACTGGTGTTCAGATATAACCTCTTGCTCTCCGAAGTTTACACCCATTCCTTCCTCCTTTGAATTTTATCTTTTTTTTTTTTTTTTTTTTTGGTTCTGGGGATCAAATTTAGGACTCTGAACTTGCCAGGCAGGTGTCAGCACCACTGAGCTAAATCCCCAGCCCTGAATTTATCTTTTACCATTTGAAATTACATTATTTGTAGTCTGTTTTTCCTGCTAGGTTGTGAGCTTCAAGGAACCAGGATTTTATCTTATTTATTGTTGAATCCCTAGCTATGAAATTCCACCTGGTGCTTAGTAGACAATAAATACTGGCTAAATGAAGAATTAAGACATTGATTTTCTGTAAAA